TTTTACAAAGTCTAAAAAAGTCTAAAAATGTCTTAAAAAGTCTTACAAATGTTCGGATTTCGCACACCTGATTGATAATTTTTCAGTTTCAATTATTTTCAATTTGAGTAGTTTCGATTCGAGTTTCAATTATTCAAAACAACAATGCTTACTTTTTTTACAGCATTAAGAGTAATTTCTATAAACCAGCTAAGAGGATGTTTTTTTTGAAAGATTAAAAACTGATTCGTTATTCCTAATTATTTGTATTGAAAGGTTGGCAACTCTATATTAATGGATAAAATGGAACAAGTAGTCGACGATCGTGCAGCCGCCTGTACCACCAATTAAATTTAAGCAAGTTTGATATTATAGAAGTATGTTTAAATTTTTAAAGCAAAAAAGAATTTTTTTTCATGAATTAATGATTTATTTATGTTTTCTATTGAAAAATCTGCCAAACGTTTAATATTATAGAAGTATGTTTGAATTTTTGAAAAAAAAAATTTTTTCATTCAAGTCTTATAGTTTTATGTTTATTATTTTTAACAAAAAAATTAAAATTAAAATTCCATTCTTATGAAAACAAATCATTGAATAAATGCTGGTTTGATAATACCTATATATCAGTATGAAATTGTTTTTAAATGATACTTATGGTTCAGACTTAAATTTTATGTTTAAATTTTTATATTAAATTTTAGCAGCAACACGCATTCAAAAACTGCGCGCTTTTCGATAGTAGCGCCATCTCCAACTATTGGTGACGGGCGCACACTCAGGACACCACACGCGCATACGGCCGGCCACGACCCACGTCGAGTCGAGCCAGCTAGTCTTCTGCTCCCAGAACCTCGTGTTTCGTCATTCTTTCGCAGCCTTTGAAAGTGAACACACGTGCCTATAGCCATTCGTCAGCTCTGCTTCAGTTTTCAGCTCTTCTCTTGAAAACATTTTCGTATTGATTAGTTTACCCCATATTGGCCGAAATTAAATTCACCGACTTAAGTCACGAATTTTATTNTACATTCAAATTTATATGCAGTTTCATAGCGCATGCGAGCCTAATTAGAAGTATTGGTGAAGTAGGCGGCCTGTGCCCATTGCTCAGCCTTGTGACGTAGGTAACTGCGCGAGTTATCAGCTTAATTGTTTTACTTTATCTATCGATATACCATTGCTAACCTTTCAATATGAACAATTGGAATGAATTGAACGAGTTTCAATTATTTAAACAAAAATGCTTGCTTTTGTAACAGCATTAAGAGTAATTTCTATAATCCAGCTAAGAGGATGTTTTTTTTGAAAGATTAAAAACTGATTCGTTATTCCTAATTATTTGTATTGAAAGGTTGGCAACTCCATATTAATGAATAAAATGGAAAAAGTAGACGACGATCGTGCAACCGCCTGTACCACTAATTAAATTTAAGCAATAACGTTTGATATTATAGAAGTATGTTTAAATTTTTAAAACAAAAAACAATTTTTTTTCATAAATTAATAATTTATTATATATAAATTAATAATAATCATGTCATTTATGGATTTTAATGTTTTCTTTTCAAAAACTGCCAAACGTTCAATATTATATAAGTATGTTTAAAGTTTTGAAACAAAAAAGAAAATTATCATTAAGTAGATTGAGGGATGATTAGATTTTTATTAGTCAATTAATAATAAAAAAAATAGCTTGTCGAAATTCACCAAAATCATTTATACGTGGAACATTTCATTATATTTTTTTATTCAAGTTCTATAGTTTTATATTTATTATTTTTAATAAAACAATTAAAATTCCATTCTTATAAACAAAATCGCTGAATAAATGCTGGCTTGATAATAATATTATCAGTATGAAATTATTTCATACTTATAGTTCAGACTTAAATTGTATGTTGTAAGCAGCAACACGCATTCAAAAACTGCGCGCTTTTGGATAGCAGCGCCATCTCCAACTATTGGTGACAATGGTGGCGCTACTGGTGCAACGTGGCCGCTCGAACCACGCACATGTTGTACGCACAAGCACACCGGGTCCGCGAGGCGCCACGCTGCTCGTGTGTCGTCATTCATTCGTAGCCTTTCGAATTGAACACACGTGCCTATAGCTCCTGCACCCGTTAGCTCTGCTTCAGTTTTCAGCTCTGCTCTTAAAAACATTTTCGTATTGATTAGTTTACCTCATATTGGCCGAAATTAAATTCACTGACTTGAGTCACGAATTTTATTGCCATTGTGCAATTCATTTCTTCATAATTGTGAAAAGTGATTCAGTGCTGCAAAAAAACATTTACTCATTGTGGTCAAATTTGAGTGTACTTCAGCCAATCCAAAGAAAAACTGTCAATATGGGAAAGCACGAAGTAGGCACACCAAAATATATTGCCAATAAAATGAAAGCTAAAGGACTGCAAAAATTGCGATGGTACTGCCAAATGTGCCAAAAACAATGTAGAGATAAAAATGGCTTTAAATGCCATACAATGTCAGAATCACATCACCGTCAGCTTCTATTATTTGCTGAGAATTCACATAAATACATGGACCAATTTTCCAAGGAGTTTTCTCATGATTATTTGTATTTGCTTAAAAGGCAATTTGGAACCAAACGAGTTCCAGCAAATAGGGTATATCAAGATTATATAGCTGATAGAGATCATATACATATGAATGCAACACAGTGGTTAACGTTAACAGCTTTTGTAAAATGGTTGGGTAGAACTGGAAAGTGTGTTGTTGATGAAACAGAAAAAGGTTGGTTTGTGACGTATATTGATAAAGATCCTGAAACAAAAGCTGCTTCAGAAAAAAAAGAAAAAATGGACCGTGATGATGAAGAGAAAACAATGGACTTTATCAAAAAGCAAATGAAGAAAGATATTATCTGTTTAAAACAGAAAGCCCAAACAGAAGTTGACTTTAAAAAACCGTTGGAAAGAACAGGAGATGAACCTTTAGTACTTGATATTAAATTAAAACCCAAAACAGGTTTAATTATTAAACCAACTACAAAAGAAACTTTGGCTGTGAAAATCAAACAAGAACCATTAAGTAGTAACAAACGAAAATTGGATTCATTTGATGAAAAATCATCTATTTCTAAAAGAGTAAAAAAAGAAAAAGATGAAGACAAAAGAGATTTAAACAAAGGTTGGCTAAGACCAGGGCTATCTGTAAAGATAATCACAAAATCTCTAGGAGACAAATATTATAAATCAAAAGGGATTCTCACAGAAACTATTGATAAAAATAGTTTTGTTGGTAAAGTGAAGCTCCAATCTCCAGAGGAAGTAGCAGGACATATTGTTAAAATAGATGAACAACATCTTGAAACAGTCATTCCATCAATAGGTAGAGATGTAATGATCTTATACGGAAAATATGGTGATAAATTGGCTGTACTTGAAAAAGTGAGAGAAGATGAATTTTGTGTTGATGTAACATTAAAAGATGAAAAAAAACTAGTGAAACGAATACCATATGAACAAATAAGCAAATATGTTCAATTATAAGAAAAAAAATAAAATATTATTTTGTAAATAATCATTTTTGTAATAAATTATTTCCTTTCTCATTCTTAAAGGTAATAAGTGTTTTACCAAATATATAACTATTGAAAGTAATACAAAAAAAATTTAAGAAATTTACATAAATTTTATTTAATATATATTTATACACTAATATTTATTTACAATAAATTTTACATTATAACTGCCCAGGTTTCAATAAACTATAATAGTCATTGTGCGTTTTCAAATTATCTTCAAGTAAAAGGACTCTTTTCTTATTGATTTTGAGTAAAGAATTTTGCCAAGGAAATTTTGAATCTTTTGCAACAAAATAGCTTGTCCTTGTGGAAATTCATAAAATTCATTAGTAAATGGAATTTTACCAATGAATATTGCTGTATATGTTTTTGTATTTTCATTGTGGTAATTTCTTATAACATGTCTACCTCTGACACCAGTCGTCATTACCAAAAGAGCAGCACTTACAAATAGAATAAGTCCCAATTTCCATGGTTCTTTTAACAAATCATCAACATGAACATCTTCCATTGCACTTGCGTCAGGAGATGCACCGGTATAAAATATGTATCTTATAGCTCCAACAGTAGTAAATATGAAAAAGTTTAGTGAATGGTACATTATAGCTCCCGATCTATGATTAGTTATACGATAAATGATATTATAATCTCTTGGTATGTTGTCTGCTTTTTTCAAAAGAATTTCCATTTTGTTGGATACTGTTATTAACTGTCTATTGAACATTTTTGAACCTGCAGTTACTGACAGTCCATGGCGACAACTGCGCCCTTTTCGATAGCAACGCCATCTCCAACTATTGGTGACGGTCGTGCGTAGACGTAAATAGTTAGCCACGTGTGATTTGCCCAGTGAACACTGCGTGTTGCTTTGTTGTTCTTAAAAAGTGTGTTATACTGTATATATATCATTTACGATTCCCCAATAGAGACGCTAAGATAACCTTCAAACATTGAACGAATTGAATAGTATTTTGCTTAAAATAGTAAAATTTAGCATGAATAAGACAAGATAATTGCTAATTGAGTATGATACAAGAAACGCATGAAATAAAGTACAAATCCTGTGATGTGCCATTTGTAGTTTTTCGTTGGTGTTCAGTCAGTGTTTAAAAGTAGTCAAGTAGGCAAGTCAAAAGTTGATATTAGAAAAACAACGCCTTAATATCAAATGATGCATAACTCAAGACAGGCAAGGGAGCAATAGGTGCTTGAGCAATAGAGTTTCAAACATCAGTACCAAGCCTGCATGTGTGCAACTGCCGTTGTCACTGTAGTGTTTCAAAGGTAGTATTCCAAAAGTAGTGAAGTAGTGAGTAATATAAAAAACTATTGTCAGTTGTGAACAAGGTACAACACGTAAAAAATTTAGATAATTGTATAAGCACAGTAGATCAGACCACATCTATGGTCTGGATTGGTAAATCATTAGCTGCCAGTGATAAAATTGTCTAAAAGAGCACCTTATTATGAGAGCAATAGATCTGACATTTGAAACATGTCCAAATAAGTATGAAAAGCCTTCTAAACCAGACAATCCTTTGGCAAGTAAAATGTTATTATTGGAAAGACAACGCCTTAATATCAAATGACGCATATCTTTAAAAAAGCAAGCAACTTTGATTAAAACATCAATAGAGTTTCACAGTATACCTAGTTTGCATGTGTGCAACTGCCATTTCCACCAGCAAATGTAGGCATTAACTTTTTCAATTTACCATAGGTTGCAGTAAGGTCACCCAAGCTACTAGACTCATTGCCTCCAGTATTTATATCAATAAGCTCAGATAAACTTCTCACCAGGTAATGCACCAACTGCATTATCTAAATCAAGGATGGGTACTAACTCAGATATTGACAAACTTTGTCTAGAAGAAATCAATTGTGTTAATTATGTTAAGATTCAATAAATTAAGTTGGATTTTTTGTCGACAGCTTGGTGATTATATAAATGAATGTAAACAATTTTTTTACTAAAATTGGACCAATAATTTAATCAGATATTGTCATTGTTTATACCAAATGTTTTATTGTATTCATAATCAAATTAACATTCATTATAAATTTAATGCTTGTGATCGAGCTTTCTTCGAAAGCCTTCTGCTGTGCTTGAAATATTTATTTTTTAATTTTACACCTAAAATTTGATAATCATTTAGTAACATTGCCTTATAACGTTTCTCAGCGTTTCCTTTTTTATTCACAATTTAGACATTGCATTCAATTTAGATTAGAAGCTCCCATAGAATAAAATAATCTTAAATGGGAAAGACAGTCAGTCATAAGTTGTCAGGTGTGTCTACCATTAGCGCACATGGGCACATGTACAGCTCAGAAAGATTAAGAAGAAGATCTCAAAGATCTAAATATTGCATGTTTTAATCTTTTCTCATCAAACTCAGAATTACTCTCTATCTTTCTCTCTCTCTCTCTCTCTCTTTATACTTTGAAAACTCTTTTTCTCAAAAAAAGTAATCATCGGATAATTTCATCATCCACATGCCCAGCTGAGCTCGACGTTGAATCTATTGAAATTCCGATTTCCTGAATGTGTTTTATTCAAATTAAAGTATGTATCAGAAAACGAGGATAAATTGATCAATATGCCCTATTGAAATTTCATTTATATTTTTATAATTACATCAATTTGCGTTTTTATTTACTTTTATATACACTTACTACATTTGTATAATAGACTGTAAAAGCTACTGAAATTAGATCCTAAAAAACAGGCATAAATTTATTTTTCAATAACGCGTTTTATACTACTTTGTCGGGTCAGATGCATAAACAATGTGAAATACATTGTCATAAGACTGTAGACCTTTGGCGCTAAGCATTCAACACTTTCAAGTTGACATACATTAGATTCCAAATGTTTTCATCATTCAGTTGAATTCTGTAAGGTTTTATTTACTTCTTTGAACCATTGGCTAGTGTTGCAACCTCAAACTGAATATCCGATCAACTTCAACTACACTTGCATGTACGATAAAGTACAATTGACTTGTTAAATATGATGAAAAAATAAATTCTTTTCCATTGTGCGTACTAGTAGCTCAAGTTAGTTTGATTAGCTAGTCCGAGTTTGCCACTGTGGCTAATTGTCCGAAAACAATATAAAACCTCACAGAACCAAATTGACTGATGCGAACACTTGGAACCCAGTAAATCTCACCTGAGAACACACACAAAAAGTTTTAGTAGGATAAAAGCTAATTGTGTCCTTTCTGCTTTCCATCATTCACTTTGTTATGCGTATTCACTATGGATGTTCAAGAATTACACTGAGAGTAGCCAATATTGCATCTCGACCTGAAACTCTGTTACTTCTAGTCAACCGATCGATCGGTCCGTCGATCCACAGTTCGAGTGAATATAAGAAAAAAAAAGATATTATTAAAATTTTTAACATTAGGGTTTGCTCGAATTTTATACGCTTTTGAGACGATAATAATATTGTATAATACTTGGTAAAATTATTAGAAATTTCATTAATAATTTAAAAATTGATATCGTCCCCCAAATATACAAAAACGTTATATGTCCCAACTTTAAACGATGTTTTAATAAAGTTCGTAATTTGTAACTAAAAAAAAATTTTATTTTTGAACGTTTGAGAAGCATTTAAAAAATGATTAAACTGTATACAAAAATTTATTGTAAATTTGTATCGATGCTTCCGAACATCATTCTGTCAAAAAGTAAAGTAGTACGTATTAATTGTGAATTTCTCTTATCATTAATAAACTATAATTGTGTGAAAAATGCCGAGCATAGATCGATTGTACAGATCAAGCAGACGACTTGTACGTTATATTATTCTCGCAAGTCGATTGAATCTTGTTCTCCAGCCACATGACGATCTGCTGGAAAGTCGGCCTGTTAGCGGGTTCGCGAGCCCAGCACATGTTCATCAGCTGCTTGAGCTCGGCCGGCGCGGCCTGCAGCTCTCGCAGATCCGGTCGGCCGTCCTCCTCCAGCAGATGATGAAGCAGCCGATCGTCGGACAGACGAGGGTAAGGAAAGTCGCCGTAGCTGACGATCTCCCAGAGCACGAGGCCGTACGACCAGACGTCGCTCTTGCTGGTGAAGCTGCGCTGGCGTATCGCCTCGGCGGGCATCCAGCGTATCGGCAGGGGCCTCTGGCCGCCCGGCCGCCTCGAAAAGTAGTCGCCTCGTCGCGACAAGCCAAAATCCGATATCTGCCGATCATCGCGAGTATTTTAATACAGAGAGCTCGAGTTGTATTACATTGTATATTTAATCTTGCATCCTACATTATATATTATACAAGCGCAACGCCGCAACGTCGCGATCGTTCGAGCTCTCGAGCGACTGCAGCGAGCTCCGCGCGCATCGGCGTTTATTATTTGTACTCGTAATATACCTTGAGAACGAGATGCTCGCTCATGAGAACGTTTCTGGCGGCCAAGTCACGGTGAACGATGCCCTTGGCTTCGAGATGCTCCATGCCGCGGGCTATGTGCAAGCCGAAGTGCATCATTTCCGCATGGCTAAGCGTACCCTTGACTCGCTCGCCGCCACCGCTGCACTCGAACTTGCAGCCGCCCGACTCGACCGCTTTGATGTCGTTGTTGGGAAAAAAAACTCGAGAGTCTCTGCTGAACTGTGGCTGATGTTGCTGTTGTTGTTGTTGCGGTGACGGACTCGAGGGCGATTGACTGTGAAGACTCGTACAGGTGGCTGGGCAAAATTATGCAATGTACTTTCGAGTGCAGTAAAAAAGAAAAGAACTTGACACACGTAATACATTGGGGAAAGTGCTCGACTTACTCTCGGCTATGCTGAGCTCGTCCGGGCTGTCGTTGGAGGACAAGGTCAACGGCGACGAGACCTCGACTGTGCCGGCTGCTCTCACGGCGTGCAGATACCTCAGCAGATCGCCGCCCTTCATGTACTCGAGCACCAGACAGATGGGATTCTCGGGCAGGGTGCAGCAGCCGATCATCGACACGAGATGGGGATGCGAGCCCACGAGCTTGGTGATGCGGATCTCCTCGAGCAGGTCCTGCTGCAGCTCCGAGGGGTCGTGGGCTCGCGACATCTTCACGGCTACGAGATTGGCGTTGCTGTAGGCGCTGTTTCGGCCTTCGCCACCAGCAGCGCCGTCGAGCTGCGCCAGGTAGACCTTGCCGAACTGGCCGTGGCCGAGCTCCGTCACGATGCTCAGCCGATTGAACGAGATCTCGTACTCGTCGGCCAGGTCCTTGCGGCGAGCCTCGACGATCTCCTGCTCGACGTACAGAACGTTGCGCTGGTTCAGCAGCGTCTCGTACATCGACTCCTGCTGATGCAGGAAGGCCCTCGGTCTGTGAACGCGTGATTAAGTCGTGATTTTTTTTCCATCGCTTCACGATTCGGGAGCGGGAAAATTGGTTTATATAATGTACCTACTTGAACTTGTCCATGTCGAGATTGGCGAACTTGTAATCGGGCTTGCGCATCCAACGCCGCACGAGGGTCACCAATGCACCGCTCAGAAAGAACATGAGAATGAAGCAAACGAAAACGATCGCCTATGTAGAACAAAAAAGTGCATGTCGAACTTTGTTTCAGATATCACATATATCAATCTCTTACCGCGACATTTTTCCTATAGAAGGCCGCGTGCCGGAGCTTCCTCAAAAAGATGGAGCTCTCGTTGCTGGGACATCCGTGCGAGTCGAGGGAGGTGGCGAAGATCTTGGCGCCCAGCTGATGCAGCGAAGAGTCGTTATGATGCCAAACGAACGAGCTTGAGTTGCCGCGAAAAATCGTCGTCCTGTTGTAGATAACGAGTCCGGTGGCCGACGTCAGATGCGGCACTCCCGCGCTATTTTATTTACATCATATACATAACGTAAGAAAACATGCAACGATAGACAACGGCTTGTATACAATTTTTATCTCTTTGCATCGGCTAAAGTTACCGTGATTGGCCTTACCTAACGTGATAAGACCGAACGAGCGTCGCCGTCGAGCTGTCGTTGTTACCGGAGATGTCTCGATCGGTGCCGAGCGTCCAATCGATGAGGACGCTCTGATCGTCCAGGTTTTGGACGCGAAGCTCGGGCACGGGCAGCCCGCGGCCGATCCTCTCGCAATTGCACCAATTACCGATGCACTCCGGCAGAGTTACGACCGTCTGCGCTCATCGAGTATTGTTTTTAATTAATTTTTTGCGTATAATATGCGAGATCGAAAGCTGAAAAACCCACGCGTATTACCGATAGGGACCGATAATTATCATGATCGGTAAGCTGGTCGCTGCTGCTGGGCCTCGGATGGGCCACGAAGTCGATCCTGTAGGTGCAGGCCGGCTCCAACTCCAGCTCCAGCGCCATCGCGGCGTCGTCGTCGTCCTCGAAGCGGTACTCGGGCAGCAGCACCGACGTCACGTTGACGTCGTGAACGACGTGATAAATCGTGCCCTCGCCGCAGGCCGAATTATGCGAGAGGCTCGAGCCCGAGTCGTCGTCGTCGTCGTCGTGATGCTCGTCCGTTATGCTCGTGATCTGCACGCTTTTGTTGTAAATATAACGCATGTACATCATCGTAATTGACTCGAAGATCGTGTCGCGCGAGTTTGTAAATCTGCGCTCAAGATACAGAGAGCCGCGCACGGAGGAAGTACGAACCTGTAGAAGGACGGCTTTTTCGCTGCATCGTCGCTGCTCGTCGTCGGCAAGAGCCACGAAACGTTGAGCTTCGCTGCGTCGATCCTCGACGAATTCTCCTCGTTAATGTCGCCGTCGCCCGGCGAGACCAGCCGGACGCTCAAATTTCCCACGTAATTGTCATCGTTTTTGTTGTTGCTGCTGCTGCTGCTGTCGGGCTGCTCCGCCGCCACCGCAGCCACTGACTGCTCGACACCGCTCAAAACTGTCAACGATGCGATCAACGCCGCGACGCATACGACGAGCGGCGTCCGATCGAGCATCTCGTCTCACATGCCTCTCGGAGACACTTTTTTGCCACGAAAAATTCTACGACCGATCGGGAATCGATTGTACTACCTAAGAGCAGCAGCATCGTTTGCGGCCGCAGCTCATCGCGGACACCGAGAACACGCGCAACTGGACAACGAGACGAGATTTATCGCGGCCAATGTTTCTCCCGAGCATGTTTTTCGAGTGTGTACCACCTTATAGACGTTTATCGGGCCTGAGAATCTTATCTTTGGCCGTGCAAGCTAGAGTGTATACTTTTTATATCTATTATTTTTTTTTACGCTCGTTGTATTGTTGTTGAGAGAACGTGGCTCGAGCGTGGCGAGTGACTTTCTGCTTTGCACGCGGCAAAAAATCGTCGCTCATTTTTTTAGATTCGAAGGGGATTATTATTACTCGATGACCTATCGTCGCTTCGATCCTGGGGAATTGCTAATTAATCGGATCGCTTTGGAGTAGTTCTTCACTACTGTCCGTCATTTTTCTAACGTCTCGCATCGATAATAAAGATAATATATTGAATCTTGCGTTGCCCTGATAAAGACGAGCTACAAGATAAAAGCTAAACAATGCCTCGATCAGCCAAAGTGTGTAGCGATCGAACTTGAAACAATCGATTGATTTCAACTGCAGGTGAACGTGATTTTGGTAATGAAAGATCGGATACGCATTTAAACATTGCTAATAATAAAGTTTTTATTGAGAAACCACTACATGCTTTTTAAATGGTACTATAGAGTTTCGATGAGTAATTTCGTAGTATACCTGAATAACAGTCGTGATTTCACAAAATTTGTTCCTAATTCATTTTTTTTTTCGAGACTAGCATCACTTCTAATAGAGCTTCGTATAAGGTATAAACCGTAAAAATGATTATTTACAGAGTAACTGAAAATTTACAAAATTTACAATACAATCATTCGTATTATTGCTGACATCCCTGACGACGTCGCGTTGTTGAATGTTCACAATATATGTACAATCTTCAGCAAGCAAATAACAATTTATAAAATAATTAATTAATAAAATATATTTACGCAAAATTCAGTATGAGTTGTGTAACTGGAAGCTATTTTAACTTTTATAAATTTAACATATATCGTTTAAGTTATTGCAAAAATTAACTAAGCACTCGCACTTAATTCTTCAATGATGAAAACACACGAGAAGGTGAGTTAGCTATTTAATAGTAAAACGCATCAAACTTTTACGCACTTAAAATCATGTTGTATCTTACAAACATTCCGGTTAATCGAACTTGAAAGACAACTTATATTAATTGAAGTAAAGGATGAATTGTTCTATTTTGAAACATTCATTTTTCAATTTATCTATCTACGCTTTTTGTAGCGTCTTTGAGAACTTGAGTTAAACATGGCGGACACAACGTCTCGGGTTTGTGTGATTGAATAAGAATAGAACCGAGAAGTTGAGCCGTAGAAGGCAAAGGTGAACGCAGCGCTAACAGATCAGCCTCCATCCGTGGCACTGTTTCGGATTTATAAGTAGATAGAAGATATTGGTGTCCACAAGTAAATATCATTGAGTCTTCGTCTGCTGCCATTAGTTCCGATACCTTATCGGAGTCCTGAACACAAAAATAAAAAATTTGTCAAAACCCATGTCGGATTAAAATTTTTTTTTCAGTTTGAATACCTTGATGTGTATGAAAGCTCGGGGATCGTTATAACTTGCCGATAAAGTGCTCACTATTCCTTCCATCATTTGTTCAGATGTTCTGTTTTCACTTGTTCCAGGATATCCAATGAGAGGGGGGCCGTAGTTTTTAGCTAGAGATTCAGAGAGCATTTCGACGAAATCTACAGCCGGTTTACCTAAGAGTTGGATGATTTAGTTTTTGAATTTCTCAACGTTACAGAACTTTAATTTATACAAACCATCTTCGATATGTTCTATCATATAAGAACAGACTTTCAAGCAAAAATCAGTTGATAAAATGTTCACTGCATTTTTCACTCGAATATTTTTCATATTTCTTTCAGTTATAGAATTGGTCATTGTTTCTTTATCACTGTAAAATAATATAATCGAATTAACAAAAGATACAATCAAGATCAAAATTGGGTAAAAATGAAAATGTTACCTATATATTAAAAGGGCAAGAGGGTAGTAAATCTTCTTCATATATTTTATGAAAACTTTTTCCAAGTCTTTAACATCTAATCTATTTTCAACCCAAAAGTTAATAGCCAATCCAGTTATATCGTAGATAGTCATGTACTGTTCCTCTTCTACTTCGCTCAAGTAAAAATCGACAATATTCATGGCGTACTGCATCTTCAATGTCTCTTTTTCATCCATACAAATAGTTTCATTGATTTTACTAGAATCGTTGTGCGAACTGTCTTTGAAATCGTCACCAGTTAGTGTTACATTTTCAATGGAACTTTCCAGATCATTGTTTGATAATTGACTGCAATCCAAGTCCAGGATTTCTTTTTTATCTGCATCAAACATCTCTTCCGAGCCACCTTGACAATCAAACGTGTGCAGCTCTTCTTCGAGAATGCGAAAACTATCAAGTGATTTACTAACAGGCATTTTTATTTTTTCCTTTTCAGCAGACTCAATTAGTATATCAACCACATTGCGTTCAACATGCTTCTCAAAGAGCATATTGTTGACTTCAAGTTGTTCATTAATTTTTTTATCATCTGGACTGGAATTTTCATCAATATTTACCAATTGGTCAGGATCCGATTCTTTTAAGGCCCTTAGTTGATTTGTCATTGATTCGATCATGTTGCGTTCGATAAGATCAAGCTTGGCACAAGCTTGATATTTTTTCAATTCCTCACACTAACAAAACAAACAGCAATTATTATACTAATAGTGGCTAATATTATTTAACCACCTACAATTGACTCCAGACTCACCTTATTGAAGATTTTTGAAAAGCTATATAAACCATGAAATTCTTCAAGGGTATAATGCAAGGTCAGTTCTCCCATATTCGGTTCGACAGAACTAAGAGGTTTGACAGTACCAGACAAATTATTATTATCATAGGTTTGATAGGATATCATCATCGCAGGTATTCCAGGCACTTGACTTGGACTAAGATTGACCGGTAATAAACGGTCCTGATTTGGACGCCGTATAAATCGTTTTGAATTTTTAAGCTGAAGTAAAAAGCGCTCCGAATCATCGTTAATCGGTGGTCGGCCCAGTTGGGCTGTGGTGTTTGCACCCCAAGCAAAAATTTTACCTCCTATAAATTGACATAATAGTAATCGATATCCAAATAAAATTAACAACAGTATCATAACTACATTTTCTACATACCTGGTTGCTGAATTACAGTGAAATGCCCTCCACAAGAAATTTTTACGGCTTTAATAACATAATCTTTGGTTAATTCACATTCAGGGTCTTTAGGATGTAAACCTGGTTGACGATCTTTTTCGTTCTCGCTCTCCGTGTTAAGCCGGCTATTATTATCAAATGACAGAAAAGTAACAGGTGCTGGATGAGTAACGTCTCTACTGGTGCCGATTCCTAATTGACCGTCAATATTCCTGCCCCAAGTGTGAACCTTACCATCGTGTGTGAGCAATGCTGAGTGAAAGAATCCACATGATATCTATACATGTGAGTCCAAAATTTTAGAAACTTAAAAATGATTTTGGATGTATTATAAAATTAAAAACAAATAATAATTACCTGTACAATTTTCCCTTGAACTCGACTAATATCAACTAATTCGGGCACCAAATGATTCATACTATCTTCCAGATCTTTTTCAATTTCAATATTCAAAGAACAAGCAGAATTGAGGTTCCTGTCGCTTAGTGACTTTTTCAATTCGCCTCCTTCCTCTGTTTTCAATGCCTCAGCAAACTCTTCGATTGGAGATGTGTGGCATTTCTTTTCAGCCATTTCACGTTCCATCGTCTCCATAGCTTGTCTGGCTCGCTGCAAGCGCAACTTACGCTCTTTGCTTTGCAGGCGCAGAATTGTTGGATTGCAACCCCAAACGTACAGCTTATTCGTTACACTAATTGCGAGCTATAAAATTTTAATTTAGCTTTAACATTCATTTTTAGTGGTCAAGTTATTGGACTTACATTGTGAAAATATTTCGTATCGACAGCCGTTATCTTCTCAGGAATAAGACTGATTTTGATAGGCAACGAATGTTTGCTATCGTCACCGGTTCCCAACTGTCCAAACATATTGCAACCAAATCCATAAACGTAGCCATCTGCACTGAGGGCAAGAGTGTGGGCATAGCCGGCACTGATATGACGAATATCTATCCCGACCAAAGCTTTGACCATTGTTGGATACCGCGACAACTCCGTGGATCCGTGTCCCAGTTGACCGTAAACACCCCAGCCCCAGCTGAAAATTCTCCCATCGGCGGTCAACGCCACGGAATGATAGGGACCTGCTACGGCATCGACTATGACTTCTTGAGCGAGCGAGACAATTAGTTCCGGATTGGGAGTCTCACGTAGATCGCCCAGGCCTAATTGACCGTAAACGTTGCTACCCCAAGCGTAAACGCCGTTGTTTGTCACTGACAATGTGTGCCAGCGACCGCACGATACCGAAAGCACTTCGATACCTTGATAATGAAACATGCCGAGAGTTTTGGGCGTCTCGAAGCGTGACATTATCGGTCCAGTACCTGTTGGTCATTATAGTTTAATGAAAATAATAAAAACACTGGAATAAAATCAACTTACCTAAACAACCTTGCATTGCATTACCCCACGTCATGATGTTGCCGTTTCTTATCAAAGCAACGTGACCGAAGCCTGCACTCAATACTCGACGTTTTACGTCGATAGATTCCGATTTATCTTGGAAATCCTATCGACATTGTTTTGTGAGTTATTGTAAAATGTTGATCGATAAATTGTGTTTTACAAGTAAAACTTACCCCGTTAAATTCTAGGGGATGCGTAAGAGGCATAAACTCAGAACGAAAAGTTACGGATGGCTGCTGTCGATGCAGAACCGTCAAAAGCAGAAGTATAAAGGTATTAACGATTTCTTCCACGCACATACTGCTATCATCCTAAATAATAATGATTTACAAAACGTGTATGCTTTAAACAGTTTTTCAATGAATTATTAATTCTTACCCCATCTTCAGTAAAATCCAAGGAATCACACTGGCTTGAAAAGGAACATCGTGATGCAGTTCTTCGACGAATTTTAAGTCGTGTAAGTAACGGTCTCAGCGAAGGATTGGTAGGATCGTAAAGTTTGAGAAGCCTGTCAATGATGGGAATCGGCAGAGTCGGCAAACTGAACTGTACAAAGCAGATGTGATTCTTAGCAGAATTAAGATTGTTCAAGATACCCTGTATTAAACTTGGATCACTCAAGCACATCAATAAGCCATCTGTTTCGGATATAAAACAAAATATATAAATTTATAGGTATAGAAATTGGTCAATTTTAAACTTTTAAAGAGATTCTTACTTTTATTTTGATCTGTGTGTAGCAGTGCATTTTGATTCGCGAAGCTAGGTAAAGATGCAACTAGAAAATCGAGTACTTGTGGTCCTAATCCTTTATGCTTCAACAAATGCTCGAGCATAAACCATAGGTGGGTTTTGATAGCCATTTTAATGGCATACAATTGGTCATATGTAGTATTGGTCGAAAGAAAATGTCTGCATTAAAGAACTGTTATTAATTTTCCATCACTTTGCAATTAAATCGAAATTTTATTATTTACTTACAACAAATCTTTTTGAACATATTCTTTATGAGGAGGCAACGCTCTCAAGAAAAGCTCAGTGAAAGCAAGGACACTTAAGTTTGAATAGTGAATTCTATTCGTTTCACTAACTTCAGTGATCACAGGAGAAGATGAGTATGCAACAAGTAATTTCAGAAGGTCTGCTGTATATCCTACTGCAGCGAATTTGTAGATACACTTTGATATAGGACACTAAAAAAAAATATTTTAAATAATATTAAGATTGTTCCTTTTTTCTTTAAAATTTTAATTTACCTTAGCATAAGAATACAATTCCATAGCTTGACCAAAGCCGTGTTTGCATAAAACTATATCACCTGCATATTCCATTAATTGATTCCATCTCATTCCTAAAATATCTCCCAATCTTATAGAATCTTCAAGTGCTCGATGTATTAGAATTAAATCTAAGAAATATTGTGTTATGTCACTCCTAGAATAAATTTAAAAAAATTGAGTATTTAATGGACTTGCATTTAATTTGCTATGTAAGTAGTGCAAACCTCAGGTCGATTCTGTAGATTCCAAGATTAGTGATCACTAAACATGAATCAAGTGGTGGAAAAAAAGAGTTTAAGTCGACTATATTATTAGCTATGCAACAATCTTTATAATTAAGTTTAATATTATCTGATGTGTCGTAGTTTTGTGTATTAGCAGATAAAACAAAAATACTATTAATGACTTCTTCACTTTTATCAAATGAAAATTTAGCTATAATAAAATCATTATATATTTCATAGTTTCCTTTTCTTTCTTCACTCAAAACACGAGATACTATTTGAACAAATCTATGTTTGGTATCCAAAACATAAATTAGTTTACAAGTCAATTGAATATCTAGGCAATCTCTTGGCAATCTATGGACCATAGTAGGTTTTAAAGTTGTGCATCGTTGATGAATCTGATCAAAAATAAATTTTATTTCGCTTAATTTTTTATCAAATTACTGTATATAAAGGACTTGCATGGATTCCAATTTTACTTACAGTTACAAAATCTTTAGATGGTATGTAATTGGCAAAAAAACTACAGCCATTTTTCAAAATTTGGGGAATAACATACATATCTCTACACACTGGTATTGGAGTTGTGCTATAAATATTATCAGACTCTTCATGTGAAAAAAAGATTATTTCATTACTGTTATCATTGGAATCACTAGAATTGCTGAGACTGACATTTTCATTATTTTTATTTTCTGAAATTAATATAAAAAATTGAAACAGTTTTGACATAAAGTAAAAATAATGTATTCAGAAATATACCTATGTTATTCACTGGCACTGGAGGAGTAGGATCCAAGCGATTTCTCGTTTCAGCTAATTTTTGTTTAATCATATTAAGTTTCTGAAAAGACATTTGTTTCAGGCCTCTTAATCTTGCTCTTGCCATAGGAAATGTTCTTTCCTCGTTGTCGATATCATCACCATTAGTAGTTATTCGTTGTGATCCAGTATTTAACGGATATGTATAATTACTACCTGATTTTTCTAAAAGTAAATACCACTGTTCTCGAGCATGGTTTGTAATTAACATTAACACTTTATCCAGCTCTGTATCTTGACAGATAGAAAGACTTGTAATACGGCCCTCTACTTTTGTAATACTAACTTGTTGACCTGTTTCTAAATTAATAAAAACTATTTCTCCTTGCTCTGTACCAATAACACCTATTTCTGCTGCAAAAGATACACCATGCCACCATGCTATTGCACTTGGTCTGTAATTTAATCAAATTTAGTTAACAAAAATCTAACTGCATCTATTTTATAATAAGTAAAACTTAATGTTTATACCTTCCATAAGAATTTTGAGAATTTACAGACAAAAAGGACGTAACATCTTGTGTTGTCCATTTTTGATCTGGAGCATAAGGTTCATCTATGACAGTTTTCACTGGAACAATGTATACTGAACCATCAATAGAGCCAACCAATAACCAAGAACCCGATGGATCAAAACATAAACAAGCAATTTTTTTCCTCATACATTGAAACCAAGGCACCCTCTTAATGATTGGTTTGGAGGGTGCTTCTCTCAAGTAATAAATCCCAAGATCTGTAGGGCCAATGGCAAAGGCCACAAGTTGCTTTTCATGATTTTCAATAGCAGTTGCATATCTGATGTCGTTTGCCTTGACAAGACACTGAAGATTAAAAAGATTCTCTTGACACAGATCCAGCGAATTTCGTCTATTTATCACTCTCATGTCTGACATTTCATTCTGAAAAAGAATTATTGGCTTGAGTACAAACGAGTGAAAGCGTTCAGTCCAACCGAAACTGCATAGAACTACATTACATTTGACCATGAACAAAGCTACAACGACGTCCCACTTGTTTTAACATATCAATCGTCGAAAATTCCGCAGATCCACCACTACACATCGCTACCTTTCCCATGCTAGTTGACTAATTGAACACCGCACTGACATGATCGACGCAATTGTATTGTATATCGAGTGAAAATTGCAAATTTTATCATCCGAGACGACTCTTGGTGAAACGCGAATATAGCACCACACCCGCGCGAAACACTCCAGGCGTAATGTAATAGTTGCGAGGAGGACAGCAGCGAGCTTCGAGTAAACTCAATTTACTCCGTTTTTATTCTCCGTTTCGTCGACGAGCGATCGCCTCGCACGCACTCGTGTAACGCGATAAAATTAGCGAGGAGTCGCCAAAATCCATAGGTTATAATATGCGCGAAAAATCATCGGCTGTGACAGTTATTAGATGGACACCGAATACGATCGCTCTATCTCACTCTTGCCCTCTCGGTCTCTCTCTCTCTCGATCTCAGCTCCATTTTGCCCAGGCACTTGCATTATGTACTGCAGCATATATTGCGTTACGTGCATATAGCTATATAGACTGACGCATGTGCACACAAATACTCGTGCAACGGGCCAGCATGTAGACTACCTATATCTATCGGCAACATCCAACATGCACACGCTAAGTTTTCGCGCAATCTTTCGATTCAGCTCGTGATATTTTGAACGTCGAAGCGGAGATTGTTCGATGGAGTAAAATGTTACATCGAAACGCTAAAATTGACTCTTTTTTAGAATTTTTTCGTAAAGAGATAACGTTGGTTTACGAAAGACGTAAAGTTTCAATTCGATGTTTCAAACGTCAATCGTCACGCTCTCAATCGTATGTATCTCTCTGCGCACGTGTACGTTCAACATTTCTGTGACTGTTTACACAATCCAAAAAACGTAATTTTCCATGAATTCAAACTTTCAGTGTCGGTTAATTTTTGAGTTTCTCGGTATTATTACGAAGGCGCCTGGACGATCCGCGACCACGGCAAGCAGATCGCTAAAAACGGTTGCATATCTGCTGCGGGCATCGCTGCTCTTCTAGAGATCGCAAAATTCCCTTTATTATGGACTCCAAGATTTTGTTTCCATTTGTCTGTTATTGTATTTCAAGAGTCTCGAATCGACTGCAGCATCAGCGGGACACGTGCAGAAAAGCTAAAGATAGTTAAACGTATAAAAAGTGTCAGTTGTTTGTTAGTATCCGTGGTAAGTGGCGCGAGTGACCTGACCAACAACGGAACTATGATACATTGGCGCGTTACGTTTGGATCGAGTCGGTACTCTCGTACTCGTGGATCGAGTTCGGAGCGTCGGTTGTGTATATAGCAGCATTGGCGGCGGCGAGTCGCACTCCTCGCGCAAACAATCTCTCTCGGCGCGCGCTCGCTCGACCACTGCCGCAGCAACGCGAGGCACGGCATATATTATGCGCGCGAAGCAACGTTAGTTTACATATTATATCTATATACATCGGAGTTCGCGGCACACACACGTATAATACGAATGCACGACTGTGAGAGTCGCTGAGGCTGCCGCCGCCGCCGCCGCGAGCCAGTCACCGTCGAGCGTCGTTGCTTTCATGGTGTAGTGCGGCTGCTGCTGCAGCTATTCGCGCGGGCGCCAACAACCATATAGTACTAGCAGCAACGCCGAGTCACCGAGAGAAAGAGCGAGATAGACACCAGCGAGCGCTCTACAGTCCATACACACACTTACATTATACATATACCTCAGTCGGAGTTTATAACAAATTTCTAACGGGCGCGCTGCTGCCTGGCCGTCGTGTGTGCAGACTTACGACTCCTCTCTCCGAGTGGCCAGCCTCCAGTCTACTCTTGGCAATTCTCCGGTCTCTAGCAACAACGTGTGTGTGTGCGTGCGTGCATTATTTACGCACGCAGAATTTTGCTTCGATCAGCGTACGTTGCGAGAGTGCATTTATTCGGCGCGTCGTGCGTGTAGTGTACGAGTGTACAATATAGATCCCGGAGACTCGTCCAGCCGCAGGAGAGAGAAAGAGAGAGAGAGCGAGCGCAAGAGACCGGACGCGCGCGCGGCAACCCAGCGCAGCAACAATAACAATTCAGCATATCGCAACAACGATGCCGTGACAAATGATGAAAAATTTCCGAAAGCTTCTGTGAACAACGCAGTGCGTTTTCTGATTCCGCGAGTGTGTGCGTGTGTCTGTGCGTGTCTGCGTGAGTGCAGTGTTGTGCTGCGGTGCAGTGCAGTTTGTGCCTCCGCGAAATTATTATTATAATACAGCATATATAAAAATAAAATACGTGCCTTTCGGAGCTGCTGCTGCTCTGCTGCAGAAACTAGCGGCAGCGTGCGAGCTCTGTGTGTGTATATATCTGTGCCTGCGTGTGTCTTTTTTCGTGCCTTTGCATAGTTCCGAGCTCTCGCCTTGTATCTTATACGGCGATTCGGAGGGAAAAGAGAAAGAGAGAGAGAGAAAATTTACAAGATTGTGCGTTCGCATGCTGGCTGCACCAAGCCCAAGGAATGCACGAGCATCTATTGTGATATATTTCCATTCGCAACCACCGAGTTCAACGCTTCGCTGTGTTTTTTTTTGTTTTTTCGTACTACCACGAGCTCTCGTGGTGGCCGATTCTACGCTGCATTTGTATAGGTGTGTATTTCGTACGTGCGTACGCGTACAGTGTCTATTGCTGCTTACATGCATTCATCGGGGGATTCGCTTGAGGGGAAAAAACGTGGTTTTCTATACGTCAATGTAACGGGGCTTCGCGCGAACGGGGACAAAAAAATGTCCATTGGAGTTCGATCAAAAATGAACGGCTTGAAATTTTTTGTACAGTGGCTTGTGTGGGATGCAATGAACCTTAGTTTCTGATGTGCGATTCAACAGTTGGGTGTACCAACTTATCGAGTCCCTTACAATATTCCACTCGTTAGTGCATTGACTCGCGACGCGCACACACGGTGCCTATATAGACATGGTGAATGTTTAATAAAGCGACGAATCAGCTACTTCGGACTGTGACTACGCGGAGTGAAACTTCCTCCTTTCGATACTAGATATAAATGAATTTGAGAAAAAATCACTCCTTGCTAAATAAATTCGAAAATTAGATACCAGTTCGACGTATCTCTATCTAATTAAAAGTCTAAAACAGGCTCGAAATTTCGGGTAATAACGCAATACATCGTGCCTTTTAATCAGGCATAATGAGCGCGTGGATCGCGGATTGAACCTGAAATTCTTATGGACACGCATGCGGAGAGCAGCTTCCTCGCATGCCTGCGTGGAGATCCGAAGGCGAAGTACGCGCGTGCGAACGACCGCGAAAGACAGAAAACAGATTCGTTAAAATCCTCTCCGGCTCGCTTGACAGATGCACAACACATGAAGTTTAGCCAAACAACGAGTGTTGATGTGCTTACACCAATTTGACGTTAAATAAAAAAGAGGCGGGGGAGAAGCGACGTGTTATCTTTGGCGAATGGTAGCTCCGAGATTTGTTGTCGTTCTAGTACTCTCGACGCGACTGATAATTAGTCTGCTATTCGTAGCTAGACGCGGAAAAAGATTTTTTACTTTGAATAAATTTCAATAACGCATTAGGTATACCTGTAAAAGTTTTGAACTTATACATAAGATCTGGTCAAACGAACAGACCTCTTTTTAAATTGTACGTAAGGCTTTGCGATAACTTTTATCTTTCGTTTAAAACTACTGTATAAAATGCTCCAAGGACGTAACGGAGTCAAACATCTAGTTGAACAAAGCAAATTATTAAATAGAGAACGAATGAACGTTTACTATTTCAACATTTTTCTCGGCTGCTTAAAGCATTAACTTACGCGTTTAATTGCTTTCAATACCTTCAGCGGTTTTAATGAATGTTTTAAAGAAAATTGTTATTACCACGGGCTGAAAAATTATTCGTTAATTATTTGCTTCAGAATTTGGCGCGCGAACGATTCAGCCAATCGCAGCAACTGTATTTTGTCCTCGGTTGGGTTTTTTTTTACGAAAGGCAAAAAAAGGAGAGGAAGTTCACGTGCGAACAGACGCCGCGAATTGTGTACACTCGCCTACTGCTGTTTATACCGAGTCGACTCCGTGCGGTATACATTTAGCAATAGAGAATCCAATTGAGCATCGTTCGGGGCCTCGACGAGCGCGTGGCTCGGCTCTCGAGCTGTAAAGGAAAATATACACAAGTGAGAGGTAAGGACGATGGTGCTGTGTACACGCAATATTAATTTCGTATACGGTCTGCAGTGAGTTCGATGCACCGCGCGCGACTTATCCAAACGTTTTCGATTGCTTCTATAATGTACCGAACTGTGCGTCGCTGCAAAATGCTTCTCTCAACGCATATGAGTTTTGATCCGCTGTACCGAGCACGACTCGTTGAATGAACAATAGGAGCTCTACAAGTGTCCGAGTGTTATACATATATGTGTCGAGCTGCTGTACATAGTATGCTAGTGTGTTAGTGCGAGTGCCATGTTTATAGGGACACCTGTGCATTAAATCAGTTTGATCATTATATGATGAGGCTACTACAGCTATAGCTTTATTTGTGCTTGACTGCTCTACACTTATGAATCAGTACAATTGATGATTGGAGAAAAAAAACCTAGATCCTTTACAAGCTCTTTGAATTGCACTTGTTTGATGTTTGATCATAAAATATTATCTTGCAAATCATTTTGTATTTAATATAATTACATTTTTGCTTATGAGTGTGGAAATGTAATTACTTTTAGTCAATAACCAAACTAAAAGTTCTTAGTAGACTAAAAATCCTTGAATGATTCATTAGATTGAAATTTTTGAAATTATTAGCTCTCGATGCACTCCAAGACCTATACTTACCTTTTAATTTGTGTTTCAGGGGAATGAAAATGTATTGGAGTGAATTTTGATCAGTATTTCACAAATCATGACGAGTAGAAGAGATAAAGCATCCAGCGGCTTTGTAAGTATTTTTCAAATTTTATTAGTTTTACTATATAAAGCACAATCATCAAGCGTCAATAGTGTGTTGCATCACTTTGATATACATTCTGCTCGCTAGCAAACAGTATTTGATTGAACTAAATGTGTACTGTTTATACCATTCAATAGGCAATGAATGAGGATATTAATTTAAAAAAAAGGAATTCTATTATTACATATTATTATATGTGCCAAAGACTCAAACATGTAATTTAACATGCCTCAGTGATCTCATGTTTACATAGAAGCTATATTACTACTAGCTAGTGTAGAAGAGTACGCAGAGCAGTCGACTAATGTTTTATCTACACTTTGATAATCATATCTTAGTTCCTTGGAAACTTGTGCACTTGATAACATGCATTCTTCTAATCCACTATTCAGAATATGTGAAATGAATTTGCTCGCATCAATTTAGCTCTCCATAAAGTATTTTAACATTTCATCAGAAGATGTACAAGTAATTGCTCTTAATATTTGAGTGTTACAAGATGAAAAAAAAAAGAAAGATGTCAAAGAAAAAAAGGAAGACTTCAAAAAGTCGCTCATTTGAAATTCGACGCACACACGCACACACATGCAAAGAGCAGACAGGCACGCGTGTGAATGTATTTTAATGGGAGTTACACGCGCCACACATAAACATACACGTCCATTGTTTAAAACGATAACGGCTTTATAAAAGATGTCACATCTTTTCAAACGACAGCCGCTCGCGCTCTCCGTTGCCGCTGCAGATAAGATATTCAAACGCGTTGCCCGGTTTTTTTCTTCTTCTCCGAGTGCGTCTCTGCGATCTCTACTGTGCGCAATGCGTGCGTACACACAAGCAGTAGCAGTACGTAACGCGACGATTTGCTCCGCATTTAGTTATTACTTCGCAGTGGATCAGTTATAAAATTGCAACGATGCTCTGCTCGAGCAGCCGAGCTTGTATACGTGTGTGTGCGTGTGCATTGAAATGCAATATCTTCGCGTATACTGGGGAATGCAGACCACGTGTCGAGGCTATATTTTCGCCATAGGCACACGCGTGCGATTATGCGCACAAAAATTGCATCGCTCATCGAGCTTAGAGTTTATTCGAGCTAATGAATCATGAGTCTACATGAGCATGTAGAATTTTCCCTCAAATCAATGGATACGGGTGTTCATCCGACTTATATGACATGTCGGTGCATCCATTCATTGGCGAAAAATGACACTGTGCGTGACGATTTGTCGTGACATTTTTGCTCTTTCCTTGTGGTAAAAATTATACTAAACAGATATCGCTGAGTTTGATGAATGTGACAGTAAAAATTTGATAATAACTTCTTATGCTTGCAAATGCTGTTATATATTTATTGGACAATACGAGCGCAGCTATAAGTATCCGTATTTTTCTCGAGAAAAAAGTCTATTACAGAAGCAAAAGAGCGACCAACGCGTGCTCTCTATGCAAAATCTGACGTCACGACTTTTCTCTCTCTCTCTCTCTCTCTCTCTCGGTTTCAAAAATGCACACATATAAGTACAGCCGCTCGCGCTGGCATCATTAGCTGAGAGAGGATGACCTCATGGTCCTCCAGTACCTTTTTTTTCTTCTTGTGATCCATCTCTCTTCTTCCTCTTTCTGGTTCTCATTGTAGACTTGTATTACGATTCACGAAACTCGGTTGGGAGTCTCTGCTATTGAGTAATACTAAAAAATGCTTCGAATCGTTTTCGACGAAGGATTCTTGAAATGAAACTTTATAACTAGCGTTGGGCAGGAGGAGTTAATCCTCATGAAAAAGTAACGTGTGTGGTAATTTCACTGCAATAATTGTTGTATTATTGGTAGGATAAGAGAGGATAGATTGATTTCAGAATTATAGCCTTACTGTTTCCTTTACTGGACTTGAAATATTTTTTTATTTACATTCAGAAAATTTTCTTAGATGTTTCATTAAAATTGCTCCTAATCTACTTCATAATGAAATGCTGATAAAAATGTGAATACCCCCTTTGAACTTGAAAACGTGCCGATGCGTAGGAAGAATTACTAGTATAACTACCTGAAAATCGGGAATGCAGCATACCTTGACACACATCTATCGTTTGCGGAAATTTACTCGAGCGATACCTCGAATACTCGTACTTATACTTATCTCCTGCTTAAACGATCGTTCCGACTTCGAGCGTAAGTTCCGTTTTTCCTCTATCAAAAAATGTTTCATATTGTATGAAAATCTCTTTCTACTAAGTTTTGTTCCTCTGCTCGTGCTAAGAATTGAATGTTTTAAATCCATTACGATTCTTTTTCCTCTTCTTCGTTCGCTACTTTGAATGTGATTTCTATTAGAAATGAGTTAGCAATATCCGGCGACTTTCACGCGTGTACGTTACTCCAAAGGAAAATTCGTTTAAAAAATTAGGATATTGCGATTCAGAGAAAATCTACTCCGTTTTGTTCAACTATTTGCCGTCGTGATTGAGATGAAGGTCTATGTTTGTTGATCTTCTTGATCACTTTAGACTTTACATAACAAAATCTGTACACATTTTTGAATTATAGGTTCGTTATTTAACGACAATCGTTCCAAATCTACATCACAGAACTCGAAAATCCGGCGGTATCCTTAATCCACCTGAATTAGTAATAAGTAGAATGGAATAGAAAAGTCGAACCATTGCCACTTGGTACGCGGCGATATCGCTTACCTACCCAGCACGACCGTTGCGTAAAACGTCGTATAATCGGCCCGCGAATCTCGCGCCGTGCGCGCGGCTTTTGTGCAGTTGTGATAGACTTCGCGCGCGCCGCTGCAGTCAGGCGCCGTTCCTTTGTTTCCGACGAAATATATATACACAGGGATGTACTGCGCTTGACGGTCATGCCTCCGTGACTCTGATATAGAAAGTTAGGCTCCTTTTTTTTCTAGAGCAATCGCAAGACTGACCCCTCGTAGACTTTCCGTTCGCGGATATGGAAGTAGTATATGAGTTCGTTCGAGGTGTACCGAATTTTTTTTTTTTCTCGAAAATGTGGCCGGGGCATGCATTCACACGCGCGGCGGGCCGCTATAATCGATCTTACGGTTTTCATACACACATACGTACACACACATACACACTTTTCATGCTCTATACCTTCCCTATAACGCGTGCGATATAATATGCCATACTTTACAGTACGCTTTCACTACATAGATCCGTATCAGCGTGCATAAGTCATTATACACATTTCTTCCTGTTACGATCGTTTCATATAAACACTCGCGTGCACACACACACGCGTACACCGAATTATCATTTAAACAAGAAAAATGAGCAGATCGCGTAGTCCATCCGCAAACAGCGTTTTAAATAATATTTATATATGGCATCAAGTACTCGAGTTGTCGTCGCAGAGCTCGGCCGACAGCTATATAGCTTCATCGAACAATGAAAGAAACGACGTCGAGGTTTTTAAACACATCTGCCTTCCAATATTACTTTACCATGGACCATTGACCCATATCTGAAAGCATCGTAAACATACTTGAAAACAAATGAAACAATCGATCGTTCGAAATGTTTAAGTTGATAAAAAAATAAACAATCTTCTAAATTTTTTCTATACATTAATATGTACCCGGTATAATGTATAATTGTGTGTATACTCTCGATGCCGGCTGTTACGGATTTTCCGCGCGTTTAAATCTCCCCCGTTGCGAAATAAAGCACGCACTTTTTTACACGAATCTCGAAAAAATATTTTTGTTCCGTCTATAGGCCAAGAAAAATTTGGCCACAAGTCCGATAAACGAAACAATGCTTCGGGGGGCGCGCTCGTGTTCTAAATGCATTGCAAGATACAATGAAGCATATTCTATAAGTCGTACGCGCGAGCTGCAGACACAATGCAACGACGCGAGTTCGACACGGAGGCGACGACAACGTCTCGGAGAGCTGCACGAGACGGCTGGGAGATAATATGGAAAAAACGCACACACACTTCAACACGAAGTCACTCCCGTGATGTACTTCTTATATGATATCAGCGCAGCAGCTGCTTCTGCGGCTTTAGACGCCGCCGCTGCTGTCACGGCAATTCAGTTGCGATTGGAGCGTCGCGCGAACGGAGCCACCAGCCGCCGCCGGTGCTATCAAAATTACGCTCCCATATGTGTCTTTATTATTGCATGTGTGCGTTTTAGCGTGCTAAGTATGTCGCGTGTGCTCCACAGCGGCATTCCTTCTCCTGGTGTGTAGAATAATTATAACATCAGTTCTGGCCAAGTAGTGTGTGTTTGTGTGTGTGTTACTCCAAACATGGATCAGTGCCTGCGGTGTGCGTGTGCACGCGCGCGTAAGCGTGCCTTCAATAATCGATGTGCCTGCCCGTTGGATTTTGAGATTTTTGTTTGCCAAAACGAAAAAAAAACGTACCGAGAACCCGTAATTTGTGACCTCTTCTTTCTCTCGTGGATTTAAAGATGACGTATTATACGCGCGCGTCGGCGAACAAAAAAAATGAAAAAGAAGAAGCTTCCGAATCGTGACGAAATTCGTTTATTTTCAGCGAGCTATTGCACGCGATCACTTGTTGCTCGTGTTGTGTTGTATATCAAAACTAAACAGTGACGACGTCGCGGCTTTGCTTTTGTTATAAGTTATAGTTATTTTTCGGCACGTCAACGCGAATCGAGTGAAATTTCGAGCGGGCGTCCCCTTCGTCTTATCGATCGCCTGAATTTCGACTCTCGATGTATAAAAAGCAATAAAATTTACGAGAAACAACAAGAATGTCAAAAGCTCGATCGAATTTTTTTTCTTTTCTCGCTGTTATCGCGTGGCGGGTGCTCGCGCGATATAATCGGAGTGCCGCCGCGGCGTTGCTGCGTATACGTGTTGCTTTCGGAGCGAGAGAGAAAAATTGCAATGCTCTCTCGGCGCTGCACAGTTATACAGTACACACCTCTTGATCGTCGCAGTTCGAGACATTCCATTCACATATATATCGTCGCCCCAGCG